TGAAAATTATTTAGCACTGTTTAAAGAAAAACTTCATTTAATGAATTACTGTGTTATTAAAATAATTGTGTCAGAGTGAAAAGGTTATCAGCCAAAGCATTTGACTTGTAAGGAATTTCAGTATCGTTACCTAAACAGTACTTAGTAAATCCTGCTTTTGATTACAACTAGTTTAAGAATTGGGCTTTTTTCGCGATTGATTCTAAGATAGTAATCACTTGTATTGCTCATAATGGAGGTAAGCAAAACCAAAAGACTTTTAAAACAACTGTGTTGCCTTAGCAATGAAACTTTTCCCCAAGGACTGGTCCTATTATAACCCAAAAGATCCCAACATAATAAAGGATTTGGGTATTAGGTGGCCAAAAATATCCTTCATGGCTTTTGTTTCCTACAACCAGCATATTGACTTTTTTTATGCTCGAGCTTTTTAAAAAAGCCCCTGCTTAACATCATGTTACTACCCCTCAAAGAGCAAAATTCTTCTCCCATGTCCTCAAAAGGGGTAAAGCCAAAATCCAGACAGTTCTTGTGTCTCAGTGCCATGTGCAATGGGTCATTTTCTTTCATCCTCCTATTTCAGCGAGCTTGAATGGCAGAATTGCTTAGCCTGTGGACCAGAGTGTGATTTTTCCCACTGGCAGCACACTTATATCAAACAGTGAAAGATGTGACTAGGGAAGGAGATAAGTAGTTAAAATAGCTGAACATACACATTGCAGAGCAAAGAAGAAAATGTGGACAGGGCCTGTGACTGCCTGTCTGTAACTGGAACATGGTTGCAGTTGGTATTCATGTTTTCTCCTTTAGTGCCACTCCAGGTTCCTTCTGTCTTAATTCAGCATCTCAGCTGTTTGGAGTAACCTTGACTCCCAAACCTTGGCCTTTGTTGCTCCAGCTCCCATACTTGTGTGGCTGAAGATAACAGTATTAGCAGATCCCCTGCAACTAATGAAGTTTTGGTGGATACCTTAATGCTGAACTCAGTCATCACACTATCCAGGCCCCTAAAGGCAAGATGTAGTCTCAGCTTCTACCCAGGGAGAAGCCTGGTTGCATTCCTCACTTGCGTGGTTTCTTCTAAATCACTTCCAGGGATAGAGGAAAATTTGTAAGTGGATAAGTGAGTCTCACGAAATACTTCTTTTTACTTTAACCCTTTAATTCTCAAGTGCAAGCTTGCTTTCTGCCTGTGAGTAAACCAGCACCCTAGATTAACTGTTCCTTGAGAGCAGAGATTCTGTGCAGCTTCCTAAGATGTCTCCCAGGTGACACCGTAATTGAATCCTCAATAGACCATTAAACATTCTAAAGCCCAGTAGTGCCTAGATAATGGAGGAATGATAGAACAGTGAATGCCCTTGTCCTTGAAAGGTCTGTTCAATTTTTTTTTTTTCTCCAAAGAGAGTTTGTTGATCAGAAGCATAGGTGTGTGGAGTACCACGATTGTGACTACTATTTGGATTAGGAAGGTCAGCAGTGTGGGGAGAGGAGTAGAGGAAGCGTACAAAATCTATACTATTATTTAAGCAAATATAAAATCCTGCCTATTTCAAGATGGGAGAAGCGTAATCATCTTGCCCACTGAGTGATTGACTGACACCCACATAGAATGTCACCATATCACTATACTTTTCATTGCTGTTGCTGCAAATTGGTATAGAAATTGCAAGTAATAATTTTGAGTAAGGAGAAGTCCATGTAGGTGAGCCCATATGTGGCTCTTACTCCTGCAGTCGTTACTAGTTAGTTATTTTAGGAGTTTGGCAAGGGCAGGCTGACAGAAAGACAGAACAAAATGGAGGAGGAGATGTACCAGTAAGATAACTACTAATTGATACTGGGCAGCTCAGGTCACTGGGTGACCTTGTATGGCATTATTTACTCTTTATCCAGGACTCAGTAGCAGGACTGGAGATACTCCTCAAAAGGATAACATTGACTTGCCAAAGAATTTGATTTTGCTGTAAGACTCTAAGGGACTCCTATGCTTTTCCTATAGCATCCTGATAGCACATGTGCACTTACTTTACTGTTGCTCCACCGATCATTAGAGTCAAGTTGGAGAGCTGCTTGAACCACTGCTTGAACTAGGTGGATAACCTTTTCTTTTGGAAGTGGAAGCCAGAGCTGGCAGCCTTTTGGGTCATTCATCAAAATGGGTTGGAGTAGCAATATTCCCTATTTGTATCTGAGACTGCAAAGACAATCAGTTTGTTGTTTACTTACAGGAGTATACCAATGCTCCATGCACATTAGTGGACCAAGATTATTCATTGAGAAAACAAAGCCTTGTGTTTTCATGGAATTTATCTTTTACTGCTGACATACTTATATCCTTCCAAGACACTTAAGGGTATATGTTGCCACTTGAATTTGTGGTCTTAAAAGCACATGTAAGCAGTGTGTTGGACTAGCAGTGTGTCCTATAGGAGGCGATGGTCAGTATCCTTCAAAATTGGGTTGTAGTAGAGTGGCTGTAACCCTGAGATAAGACTAAGAAACAGATTCCTCCATTTACTGTGTTAGCAGATAGATACAAGATGCCAGAGATTACGGTGACCTGTTCTAGTGAACATCACATTTTGAAGCATATTTGTAATTAGAGTCACCATCTGAATAAGCTTCTGCTAGCCATCATGGGGATTTGCTCTTTGCATCCTCCAGACGGGCCTGTGAAATGGGAATATGTGGGTCTCTGCTCTCAGCTCCCTGTGTCTTAGATGGCATGTCTAAACAATATATAGGAAAGGTATTGCTTTTTGTTTATTGTTTTTGTAAGAGAGCAGAGCCCTCAAGGACATCTGATTATCTTTTCCTTCCCATGAAAGCCCTGACTCAAGGAGAAAGGATAAAAATCGGGGTTGTTAAATATATCTGTTTTTTAAAAAAATAACCAGGGGAAAAAACCACTTGGCAGATTTAGGCTCCTTCTAAACCCTATCCATTTTATATAATGCTCATACATTATGTATCCTATCCAAGATTGATATACATTTCAGTATTGTTTTATTTCACTCAATGACTATTATTAAGATCCTGTTCTTAACCCAATTTTATACTGGATTATCAGGCCTTTACTCAATTATTTCTAGTTCTTCATATATTAGGGATATTGTTACTTTCTTATAAATGTCTCTACTTTTTGTTTCTAAGTCTTTGATAGCGTTTGTTCATTATTCTAATTACTTTCTGACCTACTTATTTTTCTTAGTTTTTCCAAGTCTAATACATGCAAAGTTGATTATCAGTGAAGCTGAATTTCTCATGTTTATTTGCTTGTTGTCAATTTCAGGATTTTTTTGTTTTGTTTTGTCCATTCTTCATTGGCTAGCTCTCTATAACCAATTTGTAAGAGCTTTTCCTCCTATATTAGGGATATTCATCACTGATCATATGCTGCCGATATTTTCTATGTATATACACACGTGTTATATGTATTTGTAATATACATATTTTTAATATTTAAAATTGTGCTGTCAAATTTGTCATATTTACTGCCATAGTTTTTAGTTTTGCATTGTACTTAGATAATATTTTATTCCCCCAAGATCATAAATAAGAGCATACGAGAAATACATATTTGTAGTTTCATGTAACAGTTTAATGATTTCCATTTTTATATATAGTAATTTACTATAGATTTATTTTGGCATATGAGTTAGGAGAGGTTCTATTTTAATACCTTAATGGTTAGTCAGTTCCTGGTTTCATTTATTGAATAATTTATCTTTCTCACTATGACTTTAAAAGACAATGATCCTTCTAGAGATAAGTGACTGCCTATATCCTATAGAGGTCCACAGTAAATGTTTCTTATCAACATGCTTTTTTTTTTAAAAATCTGTAAACCTCTACAAGATTATCCAAGAAAATTTGTTGACGTTGAGAAAGAAATATGTAACTAATTTCAGGTAGCCATAAATTAAAGGGAGCTAACAAAATTTCTCTACTGTACAAAAGAAAAATTTGCTCCCCTTCCCAAAATAAATCCTTTCAACCTGTCTGAATGGTTAGCATTTACTGTATGCTCTGTAAATTTTCTGCAATATTTATATTTTTCAGTTTTGACTTGAGAGCAGTGTAATTACATCATCCTGAATGAACAAAAATTATCCTGCATTTTGGAATACACTCATTCCCTTAATCCCATAAGTAATGGCTTAAAACCATTTAAACTATATAAATAAGCCACTGATTTTAAATTTAAAAGAATGGGTGGGTTGGATCACTTTTCTCTAATTCTTAGAAATAGGAAAGTTCTTTTCTTTGGGATGGATTTTCTCAACTTTTTTCTAATTGACTATTTGTGTGTACACTGGCATAAAGCTGTCAGACCTTTTTCTGAAGAGGTTTTTTTTTTTTTTTTATTTCCTTGCTGATAGACTTCTGGGTTGTGAGCTTTGCATAAATTTTAAACCCCTGGCTTATAATTTTAAATCCACAGAGAAGTAAAAGTATAGTACAGCACACTTTTAATATACCCTTCTCATGAGTTTGTTTGCCAATTGTTGACATTTTTCACTCTTGTTTAAGTTCAAATTCAAGTTTCTCCAGTTGTTCTCATACTTTTTAAAATAGCATTTTCTTTTTTCCTGATTCAGAGTGTAGTCAAAAATCATACATTGCCTTTTGGGTGTTTTACAGTAGTAGTATTTTAAGTATTTTAGTTCTTTAATTTAGAAAGTTTCCTGACATTTGTCTTTCTCCCCACCATTTTTTGACATTGATATATATTTTTTAAAGTTCAGACCAGTTGTTTAGCAGATGATCTATAACCTAGATTGCTCTGATTTCACATGTTAACATCTCCCACAATTTTCTCTTGAAAATTAATCCACTATCATTACTAATTAGATATAAATCATTTTTTTCTTTCTTCTCAAGTAATGATTTCTGTAGTTATCTGTTTTTTTTTAATCTTTGTAACTTCCCAATTGCTTATATTTCTTTTGCCTTAAAATGTGTAACAGTTATAAACTTACTTTCCTTTATAATAGCTGTGGAAATACAGAGGACTCTGAATCAACTTGGAACACCTCAAGATTCTCCTGAATTGAGGCAACAATTGTAAGTATTTAAAAAGGAAAAAAGGAGGGAGAGAAGGAAGGCAGGCAGCAGACAGGAAGGCAGAGAAGACAGACAGACAAGCAAGCAGGCAAGGCAAGTAGAGAGGGTTATATTTACTGGAGAAACAGTGGGAAACTAATAAGGTTTTTCTGCTGCCTTATTTGTACCAAGATCCGAGCTTTTGGGTAACTTCTCCTGTCTAGAGGAGGCAGGTGCCTTTTTTTTCTTTTTTTTTTTTTTTTAAGTTTAAAATATCTAGCTTATTCTGTCAAAGCAGAACTTCATTAGTTGCCTCTTTTAATAGGTTCATTTGTACTTTTTATAATTTTTTAATGGGCAGTTTTTGGTGGCTTTTGGAAATTATATTCTAAGCTCCTGAATGTGATTCACTTGTATAATCCTACAATCCTATAATCCAGATTTTTATTTGGTTTAGATCCAGCAGGTATCCAATATAAACTGTCCCCCAAAGCTTATACCTGCATCCTTAAATTTCAGAAAACATTAGCTTCTGTTTAGGAAAAAAAATATAATTAAGTTATATAATACATTTCAATAAATTTATTTCCATTTTGTTTATACGGAAAAAAGGTCTCAGGGATTTGATAATTTGTCCAACATCATTCTGACCCTGTATCTTAACTCTTACTTCAGTTCTGTTACAGTTGCAAATTTTAAATAATATATATATTGTATACATTATATCCCAAATAACATTAGCCATAGAAGGAAAAATTGAAGAAAGGAAGATATTAAAAAAGAAGTAATAGGAATTTATACTTTTTTATGAAGTAGAATTTGAAGGATGTACATTTACCTATAGTTTGTATTTTCCTGCAGTACATGCCTCACATCTAAATAGTATCCCATTGTTTATGAAAATAAAGTTAAATGATTTTTTTTAACATTGGTTTAACATGACTTTTTTTTTTTAACATTGGTTTACAACACTGTAGAAAACATGTAATTCTTAGCAGTTACAGTATTTTGCTAAGGTTAATAGTGGAGAGACATCATTGAGGTCCTCTTTCAGGATTTTTAACTATTTTTCTAAAAATTTTTAAAACATATTAAAATAGGGTACTTAGTAAATAGATGAAAGTATATTAAAATTCTTCCTTATAAAGTACAGACAGTTATACTTAAACATATTCATGTATATATAATCATCATTTTAAAGGATCCTTAATGTACATGTTTAAAATGAGAGAGACTATATTTGAGAGGTACTGATATCGTTTGTAAGTCATCACGTTAAAACAAGTCTTTTTTTCTTAGTATCATTAAATGCTATTTTTTCCCACAGCAAACTTAAATAATAGTGAATTTTCACTGTTACTTATTACTTCTTCCCCTCTTTTTTTTTTTTTTTTTTTTTGTTGTTTTTTTTAAGTACCTGTAGTATATGAATACCTAGGTAGAGAAATAGAAGAGACCAGATGTACCTTAAAACCTCGGAACTGGTCGGCTTAAGGCAATAAATCCTTGTCCTTGCTCAACTCCTCTCCCAATTGTGGAATACAGATGAAAAGTTTCCACATCCCCACTATCTCAAGCATCAGTCTTGAGTTGGGTGTGTCATCTTCCTTTCTAAATCACTGTTAATGTTTGTCTCTCAAATCTCACTTACTCCTGTGTGGGTATAGAACCTCCCATGTATATTTGCTCAATATTTATCAAGGAATGGAACCTGAAAATGTTATTTTCATAGGGAAAATTGGAGTCAGTCTATTAAAAAGTGATTTTTATAAAACTGTTCATCAAGGTTGGTCAAAGCGACAGAGTTGTGATTTAAAGAAATAGGCTAGTTCTTTGGCTGTAATGCATGTTTTCTCACTATAGGCAACAGAAGCAGCAGTACACTAACCAGCTTGCCAAAGAAACTGATAAATATATTAAAGAGTTTGGATCTCTGCCCACCACCCCCAGTGAACAGGTATCAAGCTTTAAGATACATTGTTGATGTGTTGAATGTGAAAGAAATCAAATGCACTGTAGAATCTTTGAACTGTGTTAGGCTAGAAAGGAAATCAGGGGGAAATTCTATCTGAGATTAGTTTACAGAACACAAAACTATATTTAATTGCCCAGGTAGTATCCTGTGGTGCAATAAAGCAAAAATTATTTCCATGCAGTTGCCCTGACCCATAATTAAGTGCTCAGAAAATGTTTCTTGAATAATTGTTTCCTGGCCTTGCAGGACTGCATACAGCATGCACACTCCTTCAAGATGTGAGGTTTCTAGGGAAACATGTTTATTTCCTTGTTTACTTAGTGGAAGTTACAGCTTAGGTAGGAGTATATGATTTTCCTAAGGGGGTGGGGAGCTACTGTAAAACATTGTCAAAACCATGGCCCAGTTTTTAGCATGAATATTTTAAGTGAGAAATTCAGTGTTATGTGCCTGTCTCCTCAAGGTAAATAAATACACACAATATTTGAACATATTGTCAAGTGTTCTTGAGAGTTAACCAGTCCGGCTCTGCAGTTGGAGTGAATGAAAATTTCAGAATTAAATAAAGAGCCAGATAGTGGTGAAACAATTGCACAAATTCTATAGAACCTCACAGCTTGACTTTGGTAGGTTTTTTTCTCCCCTTTTCTCTAGCGTCAAAGGAAAATACAGAAGGATCGCTTAGTGGCTGAATTCACAACATCACTGACAAACTTTCAAAAGGTCCAGAGGCAGGCTGCTGACAAGGAGAAGGATTTTGTTGCTCGAGTTAGAGCCAGTTCCAGAGTATCTGTAAGTATTTTAAAAATTAACTTGATATTCTCTAAGGTCACTTAAAATACTACAGTGGCATGTTTTTAAGTCATGAAGATCTATGATGATCTTGAAAATTAATATTTGAGTATTTTCAAGTTATTCTGCTCAGTTTTTAAAAGGATGATAGTATTGTGGCTGTTTTTGTCTGTGTCACAAAAGATTGTAATTATATAAAAATATAGAAACATTATATCAAAAAAGCTTAGAGGACTAATCCTAAATGGTAGTGCCACATTTAATTCAAATTGAGGTGGTCACTTTTTGTTCCTGCTAGTGTAGAGAGGGTATGAAAATTAACAAAAAGAATGTATCGTAAATATTGAAAATGAATACCTCTTGAAAAATAGAGGAATACCTCTTGGAAATAGAGGAATAATTTAAATGGACTTTTGAGTTATGCACTTTGAGATTCCCTTAGAAATTATGACAAATTGTTTCCTACTTCTTAGAGACTAATGGGTTTCTATCAAATAATATTTATTATATATTCTTTCCTTGTCAATTTAGAGTATAATTTTATCATTACTTAAAGCAGTTGGCCTAAAAAATTAAAACAAGAGTTTTTCTCTGTCTTTGTACACATACACACACACACAAATCAGTTTAAATTATTTTAAGAATAAATGTAAGTGTTGTGTGTTTTCTCTTTGCCTTTCCCAACCCATTCTGTTCCTAAATTATTCAGGGTGGTTTTCCCGAGGACAGCTCAAAAGACAAGAATCTTGTATCCTGGGAAAGGTAAGAAATACAAATCATGATACAGATGAAAAGATAATTTTTCAAATAATTTTTATATGATACAGTCCCTGGTACAAATATAAAGCTTTTTGTATTTTATGTCATGAATATCCTTAGTTATTCATAAATTGAAAACAACTAATAAACTTGAAAAAAATTTCAAAATAATTACTTATAAAGTGTAAAATATGTAAATATATGAGTCCAATATAGCTATAATACTTGATAAGTAATATACCCAAGTATTACTATATGAGGATTGTCAACTTAAAAGTGATACTATTTGACAATATAGTTTCTAATAATTAAATGTTAATTCTAAAAAATAATTTCGCTGAAATGAAACATGAATAAAATTTGATTAATAGTTCTTTTATATTTTTGAAATTTTTGTGAATAATTCCCTGACTTTGAAGATTAGTCTATGTAAGTATTTCCTAAATAGGAGGAAAGTTCCTTTGTTTTAATACCAGACTTTTTTTTTTCCCCCTCATATTAGCCAAACTCAACCTCAAGTGCAGGTGCAGGATGAAGAAATTACAGAGGATGACCTCCGCCTTATCCATGAGAGAGAGTCTTCTATTAGGCAACTGGAAGTAAGCTTTACATTATAGAGTTGGATTGCTGCTCTGTCTTCGTGAGTTTGTCTTCAAGATGCTTAGATAATCCTGGGGGTGCCCAGGGTCAAGAAAGAAGACTGAAAAAATGTATCAATTTAGTGGCATGTTTCCTGTAAATTAGAATAATTCCTTTTGGCTTTTTAAAAATAATCTCTTTAGAATTAGTGCTAGAGTGAACAAAATGCTTCCTTCCATTTACACCTTTTATTTTCATTCTGTTAAGTCAACTCAGGTCATCTTAGTGTTAAGAGAGCATCGTTCTAGAGATGATATACACCATACCTACATATAAGACTTTATAAGGGCCTGAGAAGTATTTTGTTTTTCTTTAGTATGTTTTGACATCAAACTAAAGCCTGATTATTAAGCCTGATTTTTTATGAAACCTGTTTAATCCCAAGCAAGTAGACTAATAGTACATAACAATAGCTAAAATTTATCGAGGCCTTCCATGTGCTATGTGATAAATTCTCTATAATAGCTGTCTCATTTAGTTCTCATAAAAATGCTATGAAGTAGTGAACTGTGTTATTATCATAGCTATTTTACAGATGGGGAAACTAAAGCACAGGATAACTATTTATATTGCTCCACACACCCCTGAATAAAATATTTAAACTTTACCTTTCATTCAGGCAAAATAGTAGTTACCATATATTGAAGAAAAGTAAATTTATAACTGCTTTAGCACTATTCCATTGCATATTCAAATTGATTAATATGAGACTTTAAATTTATAGCTGAACATTTTATTATTTTGGATTGTCAGATTGATATATATATATATAAACTTTTACTAAAAATATATCACAACAGAAATATTTTGCATTCTTGTGAGGAAATATTGCTTGTGGTAGCAAAACTATCAGAATGTATACCATAAACTAAGTAACCTGTGACCCTGCTCTATTACATTTCCATTTCTAGACTTCCTTAATATTTGTAACATTGCAAACCTATTTTAGAGAACTGGCTACTATTACTTAAGGTCTCCTTACTTAGGAATCCTTATAATGAAAGATTTTTCTGTTATTTCCAAAATGAATGTCTAGGAGCATGCTCATCTGTATATGAGTGATGGTTGGGGTTCTTTTATATTCCCCTTTTGTGTAGTGGAGACTGAGTTTTTTATTATAATATGTGTTTATTTTGTTTTCTCCTCTTAGGCTGATATTATGGATATTAATGAAATATTTAAAGATTTGGGAATGATGATTCATGAGCAAGGAGATGTGATAGGTAAGGCCTACTGATGAGGTTTCATGAGGTGAGAACACGCTACCTGCACTTTACCTGTGGTAGCTTCTCAAGCAAGAATAACTGCTTTGGTTGTCTCTTTATCTCACTTTCGATTACTAATAGTTTAAATGACTGGCTTCTGTTTTGTTTTTTTTTTCCCGGAAACCCCAGATTTAATCCTGGTCTGCTACCCCTGACTCCTGAAGTAACCATGTAGTTTCAGCCTGACTTCAAGTTTATCCCAATTTAATTTTCATCATGCCAAGGACTTCTTGGGAACCCTGTGCTATTTGTAATTGTGTGTGCTCTTTTATCTTTTACATAAGGACAGGTAGACATTTGCCTGATCATCCACTCATATTTTTTATTGTTAATTCAGTGATACTATTTACATGCTAAAATTTTTTTTTGAATTCTTCTAAAACAATCAGTGACTAAGACTCCCATTGTAATAGTTATTCAGTTAAGGTGTGGTTGAAGATATGTCAGAGTATATCTAAAGACACAAAAATGTATTTATACATTTCTGAGTTATGTTCAGTTGAAATAGTTGGCCCTATCGTTCAATATAACATTTACTTACAAATGTTACCTTCTTCAATAGGCCCACTAGATCACAGGGTAAAATTTTAGAAACCAATTTATTCATTCATCCAACAAATATTTATTGAGTATCTACTGTGTCCAGAGGGGTGTTATAATAATCTGAATTGGGTTTTTAAAGACTCACTTTGACAGTTAGGTTGAGAACAGACAATAACAGGCAAAGACCAAAGCAAAGAGACCACTTAAAATGCTGTTGTAGGAATGCAGGTGAAAATTGTGTTGCTTTGGATCAGGATGGAAGTAGGGAAGAGATGAGAAGTGATGGAATCATGGATAATTTTTCAATGTGAAGGCAAAAGGATCTACCAGCTGACTGGATGTAGGTATGAGAGTGAGTTTGAGGCTGACTTTACAATTTGGTGATGGCCCATGAAAATGATAGTGTTGTAGTTTTCTGAGATGAGGAAATCCATAATTGAAGCAGGTTTGGTTGGATATAAATTATTAACTTTGGGGTAAGTTTGAGGTTCTGGTTAGCATCCAAATGAAGGATTGATAGGCACTGGTAAAGTGAACATGTTGTTCAGGGAGATGTCTTTGCTAGGGATATAAATCTGGGAGGTCATCTGCACGTAGGTGGTATTTAAAATTGTATATTAGGTGAGATCACCTACGAAACATGTCAAGAGGACAGAGGGGTCTGAGGACTAACCTATGGGTCCTATAAATATTTAGGGCAACCTCATTCATTTGTGTGTCATATGTGGTATTTTTTTTTTACTATATAATTTGTTTATAGATATTTTACATCATTGTTCTTTTTTTTTTTTTAACAATGTTTGCTTTATTTTCTCAGGTGTAGTACCCATAGAATTTCTACCACCAGTTCACCCATGCACCATCACCATAGTCCCTTGTGCTCCTCCCTCCCTCATATTGTCCCTCTCCCTCCTCCTCCCCTGCAGAATGTTTCTGATTTATAGTTGTCTGTTTATTTTTGTTATGTGTGGTAGTTTTTGAATAACAGAGGCATTTTTATGACAAATTTTTACGTATTTATGACAAATCATATGAACCACAAAGCTTAAAATGTTCACAGTAAATATTTACAGAATACAGAAAAAATATATTTATAAAAATATTTAGAGAAAAAACATGTTCCAAAAAATCTTTACAGAAAACATTTGTTGACTCCTGATTTAGAGCACAGAGAACTAAAGAATGGTCAAAGGATTGTGAGACCAGAGTAGTAGAAAGTCAGCAATTGGATACTGAAATCAGTATGTATAATAGCAGAAGCATAAAAGAACATCAGTGAATCAGGCTAAAGTGTTCAAGGAGTAAGAAGAAAAGACCATGGATGTTTACTCCAAGGAGCATTTGATGAGTTTCATTAACATAACATTTAAAACAGGACTTGTTAGAAATGAGGAAAAGATTTGATTTGCATTTCCCTGATTACAAGTGATTTTGAACATTTTTTCATATGCCTGTTGGCCATTTCCATTTCTTCTTCAGAGAAGTTTCTTTTTAGCTCTTCTGCCCATTTTTTGACTGGATTATTTTCTTTGTTTTTGTTGAGTCTTATCAGCTCTTTGCAGATTTTTGTGATCAGTTCTTTATCATTAGTGTTGTGTGCAAAAATGTTCTCCCAGTCGGTGGGGTTTCTCTTTGTTTTGGTTATTGTCTCTTTTGCTGTGCAGAAGCTCTTTTAATAAAATACCGGATGGTCTCACTCATAGCAGGAATTTAGAAAACCTAAATAAGAGACCAGGAAAAAGACTTATCAATACAAAGTAAAAATCAAAATCAACAAGCAACTATAAACCAGAGACATACTAGGGGGGAGGGGGGAGGGAGGAGCTGGGGGGAAAAGAAGGACTAGAGTCAAAATGGGGGGCGGGGTGCAATTGTATGGGGAATATAACCAAAATGAAAATGCATATATTGTGCAAAGATGAAAAAAGATGTAAGAATTGTATAAAATAAAATATTTAAAATTAAAAAATTAAATTAAAAAAATGAGGAAAAGACCATCTCTTGTGCAGTAAAGTGACTCCTAATCCACATCCAGGCCTCACCTGCCTCCAGGAGGATGAGAAGGAAAACTGTCAATGTCTGAGAAAGCTGTGTGGGCCTTCAGGGAGGGCTAGGTTTAGGCACAAAAGTTAGTTGATCAAGGCCACTGAGCAATGAGAGTTTTCATTGTTCTATGTTTACCCTAAATAAAAGTTGTCTGGTGCTTAGCGCTGACTTGGCCAGCAGAGAATGCATACTAGGTGGCAATACTTTTCAGCAGTTACCAGGTAGACCCGCAGTTGTTTTGTAATGAAGATAATCAAGCGTATTCTTTTTGACTTTTTATGTTTTGTTTGGATCACCTGAGAAATAGTCTAGGGAAGAATTCTAGCTAGCTTAAGAACAAATTCAGCTTTGCCTATATACTACTAATGTTAACATTTGAAATAGTGACCATCTCACCTTGAATAAAACAGTTATTTATTGAACTCTTTTGTCCATGTTTAAAAGTTTTGTGTGTGAATGTTTTATATTAAAGATAGCATAGAAGCCAATGTCGAAAATGCAGAGGTGCACGTTCAGCAAGCAAACCAGCAGCTGTCAAGGGCAGCGGATTATCAGGTAAAATTAGCTATAACCAATCTTTTAACTTGGACTTTTAAATGTGTGTGTGTGTGTGTGTGTGTGTGCAAGGTAGATCAGAAATATGTCAGTCAACTTAAAACTGGGTTCAGTCTGTTTATTTTCAATCTTGAATCAGGACCCACAGGGACAGGAAATTTAGTGTTAGTGTCCTGAGGGCAACAGGAAATAACTGTAGGCTTTTTTGACAACTGGTGGTCTCCAATGCCGTTGTGATATTCCACCAGAAGCCTATTTGATAGGCTTCTCCCTCCATTTCTCACTGTTCTCATCTACCTTTTATTTCTTTTTTTGTCAGTGATACTCTGAACTAAAGAGGCAAAAATCCTTGTCCTAGAAAGTTGTCTTTACGTCCTGTGGAAATTGTATTAATTTGGAGTGTCCTTAACCATTAGGTTAACATTTAGGTCAACATTCAGCAGATCTTTCATCAGGAATGAATTTGCTTCTTAAGTCAATCAGGTTAATATAGGGAGTCTATATGTATGTGTGAAATATAAAGTATATAAAGTACTATGCAAATTTTAGGACTATGAACTATTAATATATTTTAAAATACGTAGAATTGGGTGTTAACCAAGGGTAAGATCAGTGTCTTTGGGAGTCCCTAAATAACACCATAGCATTTGATTTTTTAAAACTCCACATTTTGTTGCTCGTAATTAGGTTATCAGATATTGTTACTGTTTTGTAAAACATCTAAGATATTGTCACCACCTTTGATAATTTCAGTTGCTGCTCTCCTTATATTATAGCCTTAGAAGTTCCCTGTAGAGTCAGTGTCACTTTTTACTGGACAAATCACTGCATATTCAGTAATACAGACTATGAAGCTTTATAGAGATCACCAAGTTGTAGCCAGTTGTATTCACTGGCAGTAACTTGTGTTTACTCCTTATGCATGTGATTCAGATGTGCAACTCAGAGTTCCTCTATGTAATAGGCAAATTTATACTTAAGATTCATGAATAGTTGAACACACGCAAACAGGGCAATCTGTAAATGGCAACAGTATTTACTATCAAACATTTTGTTTAGAAGGATTCATCAGTGACTAGTTTACATCTTATTTTGTTACGCTTTTGGATTTGGGGCAAATGGTAGATATATCCCAAAATTTTACTTTTCTTCTTCCTGTGGAAGAGCAAACCTACAGCCATCATGGGGGAAAAGAACCCATCTTCCCAAGCTTTTTCTCCAGATCTGGAGCTTCTCCCCACTTAACATCATAAGCCCAGAAGGAATGTTGAAAAAACCCTGCAACACAGTGCTAGGAAGAGAGTGGCTTTCCAGGGGTCCCTTTGGAAGCCTTTATGTTGAGCTTGCCCCCTTGCAAAATGCAGTGCTTCTAAATAGATTGGATGAAACATGCCCACAAAGGAAGATGATAAATGCTCTTATCATGGCAGACCCAGAACCTTGCCACCCCCCTTCCACACTAGGTGGGTGCCCTAGGCCACAGATAAACCAAGTGCACATCTGGGGTGGTTTATACAGGCACATTACACATACATCTGAGATAAACTCAGTAGAGTCTAGGGAAAATTTTGGCATATTGATATTGAAACTTTAGAGAAATTGTGTTTAAAATGTAAGGAGTGTCCAATTGAAAAGTTAGATGAATATGTGGAATACTGTAAGTATTCATGGTTTCAGGGTAATTTCAGTCAGAAACATACCTTTGTATATTTTTAGAATACTTCCAGTTGACACAAAGTAAAATTACACAATTTTTTTACTTTATAAGAAAAAGGATTCCTGCATGTTGCTGTGAGACACACAAGCCATTAAAGAAACACAGAGATCTACACCTAGTCCAGGAGTGAAGAGTGGAACTAAACCCCAATCTTTATATTTTAAATGAATATTACATATTTTTAGCTCTTTGGTTTTTATTTGTATGTTGAGGTTTTGAATGCAGATTCTGTTAAAGAATGGGAATGATTGGAAAACAGTAAGTTTACTTTAGGAAAAATTGCCAGGTATTTATAATTGCTGATATTTGCAGAAAACTCACTTTGAAAAGCGTTTTTTTGATTAAAAACTTTAAAATGTATAAACTTTTAAACTGTTCTTTGTTTTCATATGTAGGTAACAGTCTATTACTTATATCAGTAATTTTAATTCTCAGCATCATCTTTTTTAAGCCAACTACACCCTTAGAAAAAGTTAATTTAGTTAAAAAAAAGTTAGTTAAAAAAATGTTTTTGAAAGAGTAGTGCCATAAGAATTGATATTTTTGAGAAGCAAGAAATACATTGAAAAAGTTGAGGACATCAAAAATTTAAGAATAGAATTATTATATGATCTAGAAATCCCACTTTTGGACATTGAAACCAGGTTCTAGGATAGGTATTGGCATACCATTTTTCATGGCAGAATTATTGAAAATAATTAAAAGGTGGAAGCAGCCCAATTATCCATCAACAGATAAGTGGATAAACTAAATGTAGTATATACAGACAATGGAGTATTTTCAGTCTTGAAAGGGAAGAAAATTGTGACACAGGCTAGAACATGGAAGAACCTTGAGGACATTATGCTAAATGAAATAAGCCAGTCACCAAAAAAAGACAAATACAGTATGAGTCCACTTATGTAAGGTACATAGAGCAGTCAAATTCATGGAAACAAAGTGGAATGGTAGTTCCCATGGATTAGGGTAGGAGGGAAATCAAAGAATCAGGAGTTGTTTTATGGGTATAGAGTGTCAGATTTATAAGATGAAAGGGTTTTGAAAATCAGTTGCATAATAATTGAATATATCCAACACTAATGAACTGCACACCTGAAAGGATTAAGGTGGTAAATTTTATGTTGCATGTGTTGCATGTGTTTTAGCACAATTAAAAATAAAATTATAAAAAAAAAAGTTGAGGACAATAAATGACTTGATTTTACTCTCAAAATTTACTGAAGTATTTTCAGTTGCTATAGAGATGCTCCACTACATCTGTAAATATGTTTTTGTTTTTGCATCTGCAGCGCAAATCCAGAAAAACCCTGTGCATCATCATTTTTATCCTTGTCATCGGAGTTTTAGTTATTGGTCTCATCATATGGGGGGTGAAAGGCAGCTAAAATTATGAAGGAGCACAGTGTTATACTACACTATCTAAATTATGTGGGAAGATTCCTGTAATCATTTTTTTTTTAATGCTATTACGTAAAAGATGGTTACCATACTTTCTTTTGGGGGAAGTTTCCTTTGAATTAAATCTGGTATTTTCTAACCCGGTCTTTTCTGAAATGCTACTGTTAGCATAGCTCCCGTGCTCTGTGATAACTGTTGGGTTCTTGCCCACATTGTATATGCCTTTCATTTGTAATTTATTTATCCTGTTGACTTAGATTTTGGAATTTAAAGTTAAAGGCCTGTGTAATCTATGTATTTCTGTTTTTGCATCACAGTGCAACATACACCCAGATTTTGTGTTACTTCATTTTAAAATATCAAATTTAATTTTCATTTGAGTCAGCAGAAGAGATAGTCTCAGTCTCAATAACTTAAAAGGAAATTAATATATCTGATTGTGGTTTTTTGTTGTTTTTCTGATTCACAGCAGCACAGATTATCTATTTAACTTTTATTGTTTTCCCTTACAGTTGTTTTCTCTTACAACCCTTGTTTATTTGTAGTGAAATCAGTGAATAAGATTGTAATATATCTCAGACCTCTGAGGTGTATATATTAAGCATCTGCTGTAGATTGCCTAGTAAAATGCTAAGGATAGGTTCTTTTTGCATAGGCTCTGTTTCAGTCTGACATTTACTGAGGAATGCGTAGTTACTAAATGTTTAATGTAATTTGGAGAAAGAGTATGACAGGTCAAGTCCTTTTGTGTTAGAATGCTGAAGATTCCAACTTAATTATTTCGCTGTGTATTTGCACAGCTATTATAATGGGACAATTAATTACCTTCCATTATGTCCTATAAAATAATGGTTGTGTATGTATCTTTGGTCATAATTACTTTTGGGAAGTAACTTTCTCACAATTACTACTTTTGAGCACCTAATACAAATTTAGTGTTTAGTTTGCATACTAATTTGTGCCATCCTTCTTTAGAAAAGAAATTGGATATTTGTCAGTTAACGCACTTGCCTTTTTTAATCAATGTTGTTTTAATGCACTAAACTGAATACTGTAAAGAGGATTATCTTAGTTTATAGTTTGTATTTTATAATATTCTTATATAGCAGTTTGATAGTGAAGGCAATGTTTTACATGGCTGTGAGACTTCAAATGGGAACAAAAAAAATGTTAAGTAACTAAGAAAATTGTATGTTTGCAACCAAAATAAAGATGATTTTAAAAGTGTCTGGGTAAATCTATTTCATGAGAACTCGTGCTTCATGGGACGAACACTTGACACTTACCTCACAAGTTTGCCACTCTGCCGCCTGAAATCTCAACTGATTATCTTCTTGGAGTACCAGTTTACTAAGTTTTCTTTTTGTCAGTCTTTAAAAGATTTTGCCACTAATAAGGTAGAACTGCATTGCATGTCCTTAATAGTTTGTGCAAAACAATCTAGAACGTTTTTTGTGAGAGATTAGGAACTTTGAGACTTTGTGTTACTAGAATTAGATTGTTTTAGTGAAGAGGATGGGTGAGAGCAAGGAGAATTCATACAGGTGTCAGCTGTTGTGTGGTTATTACAGCCTATAAGGCCTGTGCTGTGGAAGTGCGCAGAAACACACGCCATTTGAGGTGACAGCCAGCTTCACAGGGTTATATAAAGGACCCATTGACTGACACAAACTAGTTCAATTTTTGGCCACTGTTGAACTTGATAAAATGTTTATTGTTATTCAGGCAAATGCGTTTACTTCTGTTTGTTTCACAGTGAGTTTCCAAAACAAGAGCAGTTCACTTGGGGGTGTGATTTTAACACCTTTAATTAATTTTTTTTTTTTGCCCTTTTAGATCTTTCCCTGGTCCCTGCAGGCAGATATGTTAGACCTCCTTAGCAGAGGTGAAGCTGCCCTCAGAACTCGCCCAGACACTGCCCTAAGAGAAAGTCTGGGCGGAGGGTTCTTGCCTTAGGTCTGTGGAGAATGCTGTGGGGGACTCACTAAAATGTAACAATGTGTAAATTATTTAAACAGACATAGATCAGTGATTAAAAATAGGAACTTTAGTGCCTTGCATTCTTTTAAGAAACATTAATTTTGAAGGAGCTATTAAAATATTTGGAATGAAAAGGGTTATCTTCATTAGGAAAAATAAAATGAAAGTCCTGGTAAATAACCACATTTTTAAAACACTTTTCCTTTAGTTTTAGAATTGCTTAGAAATGTGAAGCTTCCAACTACGTAACAAAGTTAGAGTTCTTCTCAGGACTCAACACCTGAATCAGTTTGAGTTCAACTGAGTCTCAAACTGAAGAAGTTTACATATTAAATGATTAATATTGTTCATTGTAGTGTGCTCTAAATGACAGAATTGAATGACGGAGATTAACAAGCCTCTTTGCTAAAATTGAATGCCAGTATGGCCTGAAGTATTTGACTATTAACTGTAAAATTGTTCTGATTATGCACAAGGATTGATGGTAAAGGAATGTTGTCATTTAAACATAATGTAGCTTGCTTTTCAGTAGGCATGGCCTCACCCCTAAAAATGTAGTTACGGGCACAATGAAGCTCAGCTAGAACAGCAGGCCGTGGACGCAGCCCCCAGGCCCGCTGACCATGGTGGGTGCCCAGCCGTGTCTGCACTGTTTACTGAGAACAATGCATCTTGAGGAGGTAGCTACTGGATCCTTTAGAGTCTTCACTGCTTTTGTTAAAAATGGTAAGGTTTTGTACACAAAAAATAATGTTTTGAATACCAATCTTTTTAGACAACTTTTATCTGAAAAAGTTGAAGCCTTTTTGTTCCACAGAGTTGCTCTATGGTTAGCAAGAAAGAGCAGAATCGTTGTTCTCATTGGTGTAATTTCTATTTGTTTCTTCATGTAGAAAAAAATGTCATAATAAAAGATTAAAAACTGTGAAGTCATCCATCTTAATAGTGAAGAGTGATCTACAAGGGTAACTTACTCAACATTTATTGTTTCATATATCTTTTTTGAGGTAACGTTGGTTTACCACACTGTATATTATTTGGGGGAATAGGTTCACACCTCAGCTGTATTTTGAAAGACAAAATTCACTCTTGTATGCATGACCAGGTGGCTACAATAAAAATAAAATTTCAGAATAGGATAAAGAAGGTTATTTGGATAAATGATGAGTTAAATGATATTTATGTTATTAAAATAGGATGAACAGTCCTTACTAGTAGATATCATCAGGCATCTTCCCTGGAATGGGGGTGGAGGGCAGGGGATATGTTTTCATGATTTAGTTAAAAAAGCCTGAACTTTTCAGTCCACCAGAAGATTTGAGCAGCTTGACCTCCCAGCTAAGAAATACACTTAGCAAAATCTCCAGTAGGAGAGCATTACACTGTGCCATTTCCTTGACAAAATGCCTGACATCTCTACTTTACTATCCACACAGAGCTAAACAGTGATAAAACGATTTTCCCTAGGCATTTAAAATTTGTGTTTTCAAAATTCTGTCACATGAGAAATAGTAAAGAAATTATCTGGTTGTAAACATTCAAGGTCATCTTTGTGCATTACAGCTAGGTTTTCCAGAGTCACTGGACACAGTGAAATAACATTTTTCTCACTAAATTTACACAACTAGGAGAACTTGTTTTCCCTGCATGCTAATTTAAGCTATTCTAACATTTCTGTCAAGACTCAGTCAGGAGAATGGCCACTTGATGGCGTTGTAAGCATAAATAGTTTCCACCTAGGGACTGAGATATTTCTGCTAGTCTGAGAATGGTGGACTGGGAAGGTATGTCTGCATCACCCTAGTGAGAATCTCAAGCCTCGGGAGTCACTGGGAGTCTGGGAACAGCTGGAAGCTCCAGCTCCCTTAGCCGCGACACTGACGCCAGTGAGTCTCTTGAGCTGCCACCAGCTGTGTCAGCTGTTGACCTCACCAGAACAGGTGACCTGTAAGAAATCTTGAAGCTGCTGTGCAGCCTATGTCTGCTGTGTGCCCATAGCCCACCAGCAGCAACCTCTGAGGAAGGGGTGCCACTCCCTTTTTCTCTGTGGTCACGTATCTCACTGAAGTGACTTTTATTTGTCCACTCTGATTCAGGGCAAGAAAGCAAAGGAAATTCTTGGTGATGTAGTTTCTTCCCTAAAATTTAGAAGGCACTGTAGAAGAAGGAGGTGGTGATGTTTCGGTGTCAACAGGCAATCCAGTGCATAGTGAAGCACTGATAAGCAAAGTATCCACAACTGTAAACAGAAAACTTCACAGAGTTTTCTTTTCTAGCAATAGCAGTTCTTTGGTGGGAAAATTAAAGCACTCCCTATAAATGATAAATCAGTTTTCCAAACTAGAATTATGTACTGAGACTGGAACCCCAGTTACCTAGCAGTTTCCTCCCTCTAGTTGCTCAGTAAACATTGACCTGACTTGGCACTTACTTTGTGCCAGGCTGTTGCATGCCTGGGCACAGAGAATGTAAGAGTAAACCCAAAGAGTATGGTCCCTGCCATCAGAGAGCTTACATGTTAGCATTTGGTTTGTGAAAAGCACTGGAAGCTTTAAAAGAAGGGAATGATGAGGAGAGGAAGGAGCCATGGAAGAAAGGGGTTGTATGAAAATAGATTCATCACCCTTGGAATCATGTAACACCGTACAGTTAGGGGCCAGTCACTCTTAAGGATCAGCTTTCTGTTTACACTCTTTCTCCCTTATCAAGCAACTGCATTTAATTCATTGTCTTTTGAAAGGTCTTATGTCTCCACAAAGGAACCCTCTTGTTTTGGCAGCATCTGGATTCTTAGTTAGGGTACCTATAGCCAGGACTGACTTTTACAGGGCTTTTATGAAATTATTGCTCCCAATGAAGCTCTGGAAAATAGAAAACTATGGAAAATTTGAAATCTATGGTTCTT